ACCTCGTTCCAATTGTGAAAATATGCCCAGTCTCTCCGCATAGTTCCTATCACAATAAAACTTGCCAATTTGAATTTATGTTCACAGCTGCTTGAGAGGTTTCTTGCATATGTTCAGATTTTTAATTGTGTGCCCCTATGCACAGATGGTGGCATTCACCTTCTTATTCATAGCAATATGTATCTTCACAATAATCTGATATATAAACTAATTAAATATTTTTTTTTATTTTGCACAGAGACTTAGCTGCAAGGAATTGCCTTGTCGGGAAAAACAATGTAGTCAAAATATCGGACTTTGGCATGTCACGAGAAGAGGAGGAATACATTGTGTCCGACGGCATGAAGCAGATACCCATAAAATGGACAGCACCAGAAGCCCTCAATTTCGGTAGGTAATATTGCTTTTGTTTGGTGAATTTTAGCATAAGTATTAAAGAAAAGCCAACCTATCTTCACTTTGCGAAAGCACAAGTTTGGTTGTAGCACTTTGCCAATGCACGAACATATAATACTCTGTAATGCAATGTTTCATAAACTTTATCTAGCATCAAACACGTTTGTTTCACCAATTGCAGTTGTTATCAGCTTTCTTCAAAGTCAGGATCGTCGTGCATCTGAGGTATTTTTGAAAGCCTCTTAGTCTGCAATATTAGTACTATAGTACAGATTGAAACAGGACAATGGAGGGCTAAGCAACATACATGCTTTCATTTCCACAGTCTTCAAGTTGTATCAGTGCAATTTCAACTTGGATACTTAAATCGGAGAACAGAGAGAAAGACCAGATTCGTCATGACACTGGCACAATTGCGCAAGATGACACTACATGGTCATCTCACGCAATCGCACATACCAGTTGATATACTAAAAAAAATCATGTGTTCTAATCCTTGAGTACATTTGTTCTAATCCTTGAGTACTGTATATACGGTTTTCGAGATACCTTATGAATTCTATATAGCCCATATGCACAGTAAGCAATTTAAACAGGTGATGGTCAGAAGTTTTGCCTCTCAAAAATTGGAACAGGAGCTCAACCTTTGGTCATTTTGTACTATATAAAACAAAAGATTTGACAACGAAATCGCGAAATGTGCCAACAAAACAATAGCTTCTCAGAGTACATTCTCTCAGGATTGATAACAAAAGAATTTCAGAGGACTGTCTTTGATCAAGCCAACACTAACGCATGTGCCGGTTTCATGTGCACAGGGAAGTACACCTCAGTCTGTGATGTCTGGAGCTATGGTATCTTGGCCTGGGAAATCTATTCACTCGGGGCATCTCCTTACTGCGGCATGTCCAATAGCCGAGCTAGGGAACTGATAGACACAGGTGAGCTGCATTCAACGTGCTGTCGGTATGCGATTCATGCTGTCCTCTTACAGCTAATATCCTAAAAACATCTGCACTCTGCAAGTAAAATGCCATGTAGGTGATAGTAGAGGTGTAGATTTGTGCTACAACTCTTAGCAACTGGAAATCCTGTACTCCTGTTGAATAAACAATGCATGCACTCAGCAATGTTTCGTTCACACCTTGTGCAATTGGTTCCTCGAAAGATGTGTTTACAACGAATGAGAGGTGCGTTGCACATGTTTAACATTAGCCACTAAGAAAGAAGGTAGATCTATCAAGGTAATGTATCTTTGGCTAAAGTAGTCCACAGTCGCTATTAGCTATAGCGTTTTCTGCGCCATGAACAAACTAGTTCAATCCGAGCATTTTGTATTTTACGTCCACCCCTCCAAATAACTATCTAATGCGTTTTTAATGAAACAAAATATCTAGTGCGACGTTGTTTACATTTCTAACTCTAATGTACTTTTTTTTGACTGATATCTTCAAAGGTTTTATGTGAGAAAAACCGTTTCTGATATAAAGCTTCACTTTATGTAGACCATTTTGCTTACACACTGAATTCATATGTTGTGCTTTTTCTTTCCTCTTCTAAACAGCAAGTTCACTGTTATTTATAGATTCACTGTAAAACATTAAGTGATCATAATTAACTGAAAGTGTTAATACAAGCACGCTGTTTTGTGCACATGGCCCTTGAGAACCAACCGTTTTAACCAGACACCTATATATTAAAAGCCCGACATACTTGGTTTATGAAGGAATGTATAGCTTTGATGCAAGTTTTTAATGCCTATGCTAGTGAAGTATGTAGTTGGTTTGATGACTTTTTCTTGTTAAGTAGTCTGACTGTCCAAGTGGTACAAACAAAGCTTGAGGTTTTGTTAATTACCGTAAAAATCAGGAGCAAGCTACCCCTCTCACGGTGAAGGACAATCTGACAAGATTGAGAGAAGGGGGGGAGGGGGTGCGCTTGCTCCGTCATGAATCTAAATTCACCACGGTAGCGGAAGAGCCACTAAAAATAAAGAATGTATGCCTGTGCCTCTGATGCAATGCTTTCTCAAATATGCATCAATTCAGTTTTCATTTGCCCTCATTGGGCGAATCAAAACAGTGAAAGAAACCGTGAAGCAGTACGAGGCACCCGACTCCCGAACAAGGGAGTTGGGTTCTTGCTCGGGATTTTAAGGTATACCAAAGTGCAGTAATGAAAATGCGAAGGTTTTCATGGAACAAACAAAATGAATTAAAAAACTGATCTACGTAGCTCTGTACAAGAAAGTAGTATATGTAGCAGCTGTCAGAAAATTTTCACCACGAACCTGACCTAGCAACATAGCATGGTGACCAGTGTGTACCAGTGCTAAGTGCTCCCATGTGTCAAATTTCAGGTTACCGGTTACCAGCCCCCGAAAAGGTACCGGACACAGTGTACCAGCTGATGCTCCGGTGCTGGGAATACAACCCCGATAAGAGGCCTACGTTTCAGGAGATTCATCAAACTCTGGTCGGCATCGGCCGACACGTGTGACACCACAACGGACACAAGTTATACTGGAACATGTAAACATTTATTTTTCACAAATTAGCCATTTCGGTTGTCCACTGCATTCGTTTTTTTTTTTCTTTTTTTTTTTTGGCAGCAAGTTCTTTGCTGAAGGAACATTGTGTATTTTGTGTCGAGTTGTCCCATGTTTGGCAGCAGTTGTGTAAATAAGAGATATTTAAGTCATAAGCTAATAAATTATGAGTCATTAACAACCTTTACAGAACTGAAAGAGACATCCTTTAACGATGAAACCTTATTACTGGAAACGGGAATGACGGATGGCTTATATGGGCAGTGTCGCTGGGAAGCTCGGCTGCTATTTATTTTGTGCCATACTTTTCTGTTTTTGCTCCTGTGTGTGTAACCTTGCAAAATAATATAAATACAGAAAACTGAAAAGGTCATAAAATGTCTTTAATAAGTGTACAGAGTTGCTAACATGCTTGAAGTGGCTGTGGGAAAACCTAGCGCCAACTGTTTTCTGGAAAAACGAAACAAGCGAAGAAAAAAAAAGCAATAAAAGGAGGTTTTTGGTAAAGTCTGTACTGTGTGAATTGTTTTTCTACCAAAGCAGGTTTTTTTTTTTTCCATCTGTGCCTATACAAGGAGACTAGAACAGAATGGATACAATACATGCACAAATGTTTACACATTTTCTATAAGATCAGTTACATGCTATTTACAAAAACGCACGATACCGAAGTGAATGCCAGAACTGTCTGTTCTACTGGACGCTAGAAGAAAATGGGGATTCGGGACAGCTGACTGGTGAAATGTCACTAGTCTATACTATACTAAAGTGCTTATTTGGGCCGGTTGGTACATGGTCAACGAAGTGAAAAAACAGCGCGTAACACAGGACACAGGACAGAGAAGAGACGGACGAGGCGCTGACTTACAGGTTGTAAGTCAGCGCCTCGTCCGTCTCTTCTCTGTCCTGTGTCCTGTGTTACGCGCTGTTTTTTCACTTCGTTGACCATGTACCAACCGGCCCAAATAAGCACTTTAGTACAGTTCATTTCTAATACATCGGGCTCTGTTATATCCTACCCCTTTCTCCGCTCTTCCGTTGTGTGTATAAACCTGCTGGTTGTAAGTCAGCGCCTCGTCCGTCTCTTCTCTGTCCTGTGTCCTGTGTTACGCGCTGTTTTTTCACTTCGTAGTCTATACTAGTTCATTGTAACTGTGTGAAACAACTCGTAAAGCAACATTTTTTTTTCAGGCAAATAATGAATGGACCACTAATCGACGGTTACGAGACTATACAAATGTGCAAGTAGCAAGTCAAAAGAATGGAGTGCAAGCTTTGTTCTTTTAGGCGGTAAGCGCACCCAAATTTAAGAATCCGGGACTTTGTCCTGAAGAGAAAACGCTGGCTAAAGGAACTTGAAATCCAATGGGTAACCAGACCACACCAGGGCTACTCGAAGGTATTTTATGGAAATTAACAGTTGACATTTTTTGACAACGAGCAGCCTAGTACAAAACAAGGGTGTAATAGCCGCAAAACTGCTGTCATGACCATCAAAACCATTATGTCTTCTTGATAGTTCATACAAACTTATTAAGCTTAACCACGACTGGACTGGAAAGAAGAGCGAGTATTTTTTCTCGCGATTTTTACGAGTCCATTTTCATCTTCCGCCACACCACCATGTTGTCGCTGTCACGTTTCTATTGTTAGCTAATTCACGACTATGGTCTACGCAAAAGCAGATGCACAATAGATCTTAAAAATATCGACAGACTCCATGCAGCAAGAACATAAGCGTTCTTGTAGCTGAGTGGAGTCTGTCGACATTTTTAAAATCTATTGAGCATCTGCTTTCAACTACGAAAGGGTCGCCATACCCGTAGGGTTTAACAGTGGCTGCAACCGCGGAGAAATGCAACAATTGAGTTGAACTCGATTGCCAAGGCCATAAAGTAGAATTAGTGTGCCTTTCTAGTCTAGCCGTGGCCTAAACTACATTTACGTGTCCCGACGTGTTGGTGGCGTTACATCCAGACAGTTCAATATAAACTGAGGGGCGCTAAAATAGAGCATACAAGACTCGCCCCTCAGTTTATAATGAATGAAAACCAACTCGCCCAACTTTTTACTTTACATCCAGACAGTACATTTTCAAGTGAACACACATTAGCAATACATATCAACTGAAGGCAAGGGAACAATATAACGACTCGCTGATGGTGTAACAAGAAGAAACATCCAGCCTGCAAAGTGGCAGACAGAGGTTTTGAAAATGCGAATACACAATTGTCCGTTGCATGAGGAAATGCATGCTTTGTAGTTCACAAGAAATTATTGTCTCTGTTGTTTAAAACAAACACTTACACTGTCGGGGAACTATTATTATGTACTGAAATGCATCATGTAAGAGTGGAAATGATTGCACTCTGTCATGGCTTGTAATGCTAGTAACTATCAGACCAGTGTACTGCTATAGAGGCAGCCAGCTGACAAATAACGTCTTACAGTCAATATCCACACAACCTCGGCGTGAACTTTTTATAAACCAAACAAGACGCAACTATAAAATCAACTGTACAGACGAAACAGATGCCTACAAAATCAAAGGTGACCACAAATAACTCGATAAACTCTCCTTTGGTAATCTGCGCACAAAAATGGGTGCGCCGTTGTCATAACACCTGAAACTGCTATCACTACTGAAATGAGTGGATAAGTATTAGTATTATTGCAACAGCTCACTTTTTTTTTTTCCTCGTATACACTGTTTCTTTAACTACTCAAGAAAAAAAAGAATGGAAAACACTGACTGTCCTAAACATTTCCTGCACTTGGCTTCCGGCCAACTGCGTCTAAGCTCGTGACACTTTGAAGTCCAAATCACAGACTCGTCATCGGAGGGGCACCACAGTACGTCACAAGTCTTTTGTGCATGAACTTTGCTTGCCATTCTATTTTTTGTTTTACGATTGGGCTATTCCCGTTTCGCAACTGGACTCAACTAAGTTCACGCCAACAACAAAGCATCTTTATAGTCAAATCAGAGGACCTTCACAAAACGCCCTGAATATATCGTAGCTCTGCAGTGGTTTACTACGGCACATCGTTAAGTATTTTTGCATGAGGAAAGAACTAGAAAAGAAAAAACAGCATTTCTCTTAATGTTACGTTCGACTAACATGAAGCGCGTTGCCGATCACGCAGACTAAATTAACATTGTTCCTGCCGCCTGCTATGCAGACATCCTGCACCTGATATGTTTACTGCTACTACTCCCGATCGGTGGCCTCGTTTTCGTCACACTTCGTTGCACATTCTAACATTATTCCATGCTGGCCCACGTGCCGGAAAACGAAGCGAGAAAATAAAAGATATTTGGAGAGCCTTCAACGAGTTCCCCGTGACGCGCTCAGTTGGCCTTCAGAAGGCTGGCCTTGCACTCCTCCTTAGAAGGTACACCAACGTTCCAGCCCAGAGTGTTGCGATCAAAGCCGCACGTGAAGAGATTCGCCTTGACATTGGCCTGGTCAGTGTCGAGCCAGGCGGCGGCGCACACCATGCGGCGGTGGCCCTGAAAACAGCACGCATGCGCCATCAGCGAGAGAGATGGACAGGGAATACAAAAATGTGAACCAAGGGCACGCCAGGCTGACTGCAACGAAACTTTTTCAAATCAGTCAAGGAATATTTATTGTTCACTGGGCGATACGAATCGTTCGCAAGTTCTGGAATATCTGCTATATGAGCTAATCTTGTATAAAAGACTGGTACTTAGGTGGTACGACTGTTGAAAAACTCTAGTAAGAGGTATTTCTTGAATACAGAAGTTGGTCCCTGAATTCGACATCTGACATCAGAACCACTGTCGCACCTCGCAAGCAGATCTTTGAACATCATGCTGTCTCAAGCAAGCGTTCTTTGCAGGTCCCAAGAGTCAGCTTTACTACAATGCATGAATGTTGCATGATGAAGGATCCTGGGAATGGAAAGAAGCCACTGTTTCCCATGTACATGTGCACATCACCGTCCCAGTATAGGCGATGATAAGACTAACAGGTGTATTGACAGGCCTTCAGAACTACTTCATGTGTGGCTGTGCTTATATGAGGGCAATAAAGATGCATGCATTTCTTTTTTAGGACTGTCTGAGAAGGACTTAATCTTGGGACTCTTAGACCTAGAAAATGAAGGAACTCCAGGCGTGCATAGAGCATGCAATTGATTCACTATATCAAGTTGCAGCACGGATGCTTCTAATAATTGTGCAGCTCATGTCAACATATCAGAGTTGCCAGTTTGGCTTACAATAAGAAGATTTGGGCTCCTTTTCTTTCTTTTTCTTTTGTTTTTGGAGAGTCACATGTTGCATTTTCTGGGCTAATAATATCATTTTTGCTGCAAATATGGTTATCTTAGTGATCATCACGTTCACCAACTACATGATTGTCAATGACTTTCAGTTGTTCTGTGCTGCGGTGAAACACATGTTGGGGAAATGTAAAAAAAAAAGACTGTTAATCACGCAATGGCAAATGTGCATTCATCCAGATGGCGGCTGCCCTAGAGACAATGTTTAAAAATTTATAAAACAAATAATTTTTTCAACTACCTTTCGTATTTCTGTTTTTTTTTTCAGTAACAAAAGTATTTTCAATAATAGAAAAAAATTGAAGTTTTGCCACATTTAGGCTTCTTTCCGGAAGTTGTGCCACTTTTTATGGGTTTCTTTTGAGATGATTATTTGCTTGTTATCTCAGTAGCATCCGGCCACTATGGAACATGTTCCACACTTCATGCCACCTGGTGCAAAGAAACAATATTCCAAAAGGCGTAAGTAACTACATAGTTTCTCGTGACAAAGAGGGCTGCTGTTGATGCTGCTGCTCCTGCTACACATGGTAATAAATTGTGGCACGGTAATTTATGGTTACGTAGCTTTAAGCCTGCAAAGTGGTTGGGCAGCTTTACACCTCGCACTCATTGCACAATTCATATGACGTGGCAGCTGCAGTTTTACTAAGCAAGTGTAAGACAATATGTGCACCTATGTAGCTGCACACTTTCACGATGCTCACAATGTTTGAACCGTGCAAATGGACATGGAGAGAGAAGAAACGCACATACAAAGTGCAGTGTGTGTGCATGCGTTTCTTCTCTGTCTGCGTCCAGTCGCGCTGTTCAAGCTTTATGAGCCCCAACCAACAAGCCCACCAGAGCACTTTGGCCCATTTCATTTCTTGATAATGCAGCTGATATGCTCATTAATTATGGCTGAGTCCTTAGTAATGGCAGGGCAGCTTTAAGCTACACATTTGCAATGCAATTCAGATGGCGTGACAGCTGATCCAATTTTATTCATTTGCCATGCAATCTTTTCATAAGAGCACACATGGCTCCTCGCCTAACATCACGTCGCTACAACATATCTTTGTTTTTTTTGTTTTTGAAGCAGCTTCAAGCTGTGGCATGGCTCTGTGGTAGAATAGTTGATTCTCATATGGAATGCCTAGGTTCAATTACGGCTTGAACCTGGGTGTTTTTTCTCATTATATGCTATGGCTACATTAGACTGTGGTGGTTGGTTGGTTGGTTGCGAAACTTTATTGTGGTCCTGCAAGGCGCGCGTCATCGCGCAGCGGGCGACTCCCACGTCGGGACCATTAGGCCAAGCCCATCAGTCGCTCCGCGGGCCTGCTGGACGGCCCAAAGTTGGTCGGCCAGGAGGGAGCTGCGTAGGGCCGCCTCCCAACTGACCGATGTACTGTTAGGGTTAGTGTACATTGCTTTGCACTCCCAGAGCATGTGCGCCAGCGTGGATACATCCCCACATGCGGGGCAAGCGTCATTGGGGAACACGTCAGGATAAATAGCGTGAAGGGATCTCAGGTTAGGGTACGTGTCGGTCTGCAGTAGCCCGAGCGTAAGGGCCTGTGGCCTATTTAGTTTTGGATGAGGGAATGAATATAGTCTTCGCGCGAGGTAAAAATGTTTTGTTATTTAGTTGTACGTGGCAGGCACGTCCCTGTTTTCCGCAACCCCGTTGGCCCTGAATCGTTGCCAGTAACCAACGCGGTCGGTTAGCGCACGCGCGGCCTCGTGGGCAGACTCATTGAGGTTGGGGGGAGCACCTTGGACCTGTCCAACATGCGCGGGAAACCAGATCAGTACGTGGTGCTTGATACCATCGCGGCCACCACTCTGGAGCACGCGCAGGGCTTTCTTGGAGATTACATCGTGCTCGAAAGCGCGAATAGCTGACCTAGAGTCACTATAGATGACCTCCCTTTCACCTTCCAGGATGGCAAGGGCAATGGCCACTTGCTCGGCAATCGTCCGATCGTCAGTGTGAACCGATGCGCAGTTGGTGATTTGCTGTTTGGAGTCGACGACGACTGCGGAGAAGGTGCTGCTCCCACGGTACACTGCCGCGTCGACAAAGCTGACGCCGTGCTCCTCACTATGAATCTGCTTGAAAAGAGTGGCAGCTCTAGCCCGTCGCCTACCACGATTGTGGTCAGGATGGACATTCCTCGGTATCGGTGCCACGGTGATGAGGTCGCGAATCTCACGAGGCATCTGTCTCATCTTCTCATCCACTTCAGCTGGAGAGTGGCCAAGCTCTCGGAGTATATGTCTGCCGGTCTGGGAGCTCGAAAGGCGCGCGAGCTGGGCCTGCTCCTGCGCTTCGGCAATCTCCTTCAACGTATTGTGTACTCTGAGCTGGAGCAGGCGCTCTGTGCGCGTCCTGATCCGGATACCGAGGGCCCGCTTGGTTATCTTTCTGAGCAAGACGTTGATCTTGTCATGCTCGGCACGCTGCCAATTATGCATGGCCACAACATGTGAAAAGTGGCAGAGCACAAAGGCATTGACCAGGCGGATTAGGTTGTCTTGACTGTGATGGTGACACCAAACATCACCACCGTAATCAGCTGTAGCAGCAGGCTGATAACAGCTTATGCTTTTAGAAATAGAAAAGATAAAAGCAACGTAAAATGAAAATGCTAGTTATGTATAAGTACATAGATGGCGTTACGGCCTTAACATAAGATGTGATGAAAATGTCACCAAAATTCTGGAAAAGCACACCTGTCTGCTGTTGCGGGGTAGCCTTGCGAGACGAACACCAGACATGTCGTACAGCCTGACCTGTCTGTTGTCATGCGGAATGGCTATGACATTCTGGGTGGAGATGGCAAGCCTAGAATGAAAAAAAAAAGCAACAAAAAGTTGAAAAGTTGTAAAGACCTCCATGCAAGAAGCTCAGCCAGATTGCTTTCCTGAGAGGACTCGGACAGAACAATGCACAGGTCAAAAAATAGTAATAAACCAGAGCTGCACTAATAACGAAATTACAATTGATTTGATTGATATGTGGGGTTTAATGTCCTAAAACCACCACATGATTATGAGAGACACCGTAGTGGAGGACTCCGGAAATTTTGACCATGTGGGCTTTAACGTGCACCCAAATCTGAGCACATGGGCCTACAACATTTCGCCACCACCAGAAACACAGCCGCCGCAGCCGAGATTCGATCCCCCAACCTACGGGTCAGCAGCCGAGTACCTTAGCCACTAGACCACTGCGGCGGGGCTAGCTAAATTCTACGGTGCAAAACAAGTGATGACAACCTTTTACATGGTGCCAGTGTGAAAGGTCACGCATTTTTTGTGCACAGCTTTTGCGGATGCTTTCAGAAACTTGACGAAGTAATGCTTTCGCGTTAAGATGTAGGGCAAAACATGTCTAGAAAGAAAGCAATTCTTCTTGCTTTCTTTTTTGATCCGCCAGACTTACTATGGGGAATGGCGCGAGTGGTTCAACAGTTCAATTTTCGCCTGGTTAAAATGGATATGTCGCGCCATCTCGCAGGGCCGAACTGAACCAAGCACACCTACTATCTCTGAGGCCATGGATAAAAATTGCAGAATGGCCGCTATTGCTGCTACTAGTGTTGGTGGTAAAGCCGGGCAACCTTATGCAGGCAACAGTGACGTAAGACGGCCACTTTCAGGCGGAAATTTGAAGTGCGCTAACACAATGCGGACCACTAAAACATGATTTCATTTCAATATAAGCATTTTTTCGGCACATAAGTAGCACCTGTAGAAGCAAAAGTAGGTCTTTAGACCGCTATTTCAGCAATCAACATCGACCTAATGTTTGCCTTTAATGTCCGTTTAATAGGAGAGACTCTACAAAGTCCCTTCTCAAGCCACTACACAATAGTAGGTTTTCTGAACATCGCAAGTGCAACAAATCACAAGTGCATCGCAAGTGCATCAATTGAACACCTAACATAACAGGCAACTGCATTGGCTTTAGTCCTTTTGGTAAAGCTGCGTAAGCCACAGCAGTAATGATTAGGTGTGCAACAGCGGTGAGATGGACGCACTTGTGCTTTATTCAAGAATGAATAACAGTTCATAGCTGCCACTCCTGCCAGTATGATTACCTGTTAACAGGCGAGTCCAGCCTGATTGTAGTCAGAGGCGACCGCATGTTCTTCAAGTCCCATATTTTAACTGTGCGGTCATCGCTTCCCGACACAACTTTGTCTCCTGATGCAAATGCAGCAGAGGTGACAGCCCTGTGGGAGAAAGGAAAGAGAGAAAAAAGAAAGGCTTCAGGGACATATCGTCAAAATTGCATAATGAATTTAGTATGCAATATTTGAGATTTCAAATGCAACTAATGAAAGCCACAATCTCGGCCTTCCAAAACACCACAAAATGTTAAATGAGTGAATCTGAACTCTGTATAACTTACTGTGTGATATCAATACTGATAAGTTTTCATGAGGGTTGGATTACTCTATCTCTACCTCGTTCTTGCTAACAATGAAAAACGGCTGCAAAGTATTCAAGTTTTTAAAACCTTCGAATTTACCGAATATATAGTCAGTGCTTCCTTAACACAAGGCAATAAGGCACCGAAAGTACGGTGATCGAACTAAGATTTTGAAACTTGAATAAATTGAAGTTTGTGAAAGAACCAATAAGTGAGGGCCAATTCTAATTTCAAGCCCATTTTATTTATTTATTTATTTATTTATTTATTATTTACATTTCACCTACATCGCCGTGAGGCATTACGTAGGGGAGGTACACATAATAATTTAACTACATAGTTTTCAATCAAAACAATAGATTCAACAAATAAAACAAATAAAACAGCACTCAAAATATTTTAAGAAAAAAAAAACACTTGAATATTGGCGAGTGAAAAGAACGTCACAGTCATGCATTTGAAAACACGCACACGCTTCAAGACAGCAAACCATTCTTAGTGGCAGTGATATTGTAGGAGTTGTTACAATGAAGAAAAAAAGGATTCATTATCAGTTTCATTGACGAGATCATCCGGTAGACGGTTCCATTCCTGTATTGTTTTTTAAGAAAAAAGAACTACCGAAAGAGTGGGTTTTGTAATGGTATTCTAATATTTTTCGTGAATGGTCCTGACGATTAGAGGCGTACGTTGGTGTGAACAGATAATCAAGAGGGTTAATGGCATTTCCATTATAATATATACAATGAAGAAATTTAAGCCTGAGTTTCTGCCTCCTTACCCTCAGTGTCTCCCATTTCAATGCTCGTTTCATTTCTGTGATGCTTGCAAAGGAATTATAGTTGTTGCTAACAAATCTGGCTGCTTGGTTTTGAACTTTTTCCAATGCGTCAATCAAGTATTGCTGATGGGGATCCCAGATTACGCAAGCATACTCTAAAATAGGTCTTACATACATGAGATAGAGGGTTTGTTTCACGGTCTGTGAAGCTTGCCTAAAATTTCTGCGTATGAAGTATAGCATCCGGCCTGCCTTGGTCACAGTTATGTCAATGTGTTTATTCCACTTGAAATTGTCGGAAAAATAGACGCCCAGGTACTTAGAATAGGATTCATTGCTAATTATTGAATTATTTATTTCATATGTTGTGTCTAGTTTACTAATCTGGTTGGTGAATGATATGCAGTACATTTACGGACGTTTAGACTCATTTTCCATTTTTGGCACCACGTTGATATTCGGTACAGATCATGCTGCAGAATTTCAGCATCCTTGTGCGATTTAATCACTCTAAACACTATACAATCATCTGCGAATAACTTAATGTGAGAGGTAATACCATCGACTATGCTATTAATATAAATCAGGAAAAGCAAAGGTCCTAATACACTTCCCTGTGGTACACCTGACGTAACGGTTACCGCAGATGATTTTGATCCGTTAAGCACTACGTTCTGCTGTCGATCGTTTAGATAGTTCTTTGCCCAATTGATAACTTTAAGGTTTATGTTTGCAGAGAGCATTACAAATTCTAGCAGATTGTGTGGGACGGTGTCGAAGGCTTTCCGGAAGTCAAGGAACACTGCATCTACTTGAGCGCCACTGTCTATAGATTGTGCGATGTAATGCTGGAATTCGACTAGTTGAGTTACGCATGAGCGTCTAATTCCGAAACCATACTGAGATGGAGTGAGGAAGTTGATTGACTCTAGGTGTTTAACTGTTTCGCTGTATATGGTGTGCTCAAATAACTTACAGCAAATTGCTATTAGCGAGATTTGTCTGTAGTTTTCGACAAGCTTTTTATCACCTGATTTATAAACCGGGATAACGTTTGCAACTTTCCAGTCATGTGGGACAACTACAGTATTTAGTGTAATTTCATATATAACGCATAAATACTTTGCAATAACCCTGTGACAGTTTTTAAGAACAAATGGTGATAAACCATCTGGTCCAACTGCTTTAGTTGTATCTATCTGCCGTAACAAGCAATCAACACCAGTAATGTCAACCTCCTTGTCTTTCATGGAAGTCCACGTGACTGGAAGCGCCCCCACATCGTCAGGTGTGCTTTGAGTAAAAACTGATTGGAAATAGTTGTTAAAAGCTTCAGCTTTTTCTTCATCGGTGCACAAAGTATCCCCCTCCACGGTCAGAGCAGGAATGCTTATATCGTCTTTTCTAGTTTGTTTAAGATACTTCCAGAACTCTTTCGGGTTTTGCTTTAACCTATCGCTTAATTGGGCAAAAAAAGTATCCTTCCTTGTTTTTATTGCCGATTTCAGTGTCAGGTTTGCATGCTTTAGCTCTTGTTCATTAGACGTGGTACTCCTATCGCGAAATTTTCTGTACGAACTTCGTGCTTTCCTAATTAACCTGCAAATGTCTTTATTAAACCAAGGCTTTTGTTTTGTTCTCTTCTTTATAATTCTGTTTGGTACATGAGCTTCAACTGCGTGAAGTAGCCTATCACGAAAATAAGACCACAGAGCTAAACAGCAACGACTTTCTGCCAAAAGCAAGAATGTTGGGTAATACGACTCTAATTCTGCAGAAACAGAATCGTACTCACCTTGTTCATACAGGAAAATTTTTCGGGGTATTGCCTGTGCTACTTGGCAGTATTCTATCTTTAAATCTGCCACAATGGCCTTATGGTCACTTATACCAGGAATCACCGACACAGTGGAAACAATATTTGGGTCATTACATAATATTAAATCCAGAATGGCATCATGTCTCTTTGGAACATTCACATATCGACAAAAACCAAACACTCTCAAGAATTCGCCGAACAAAGTATACACTGACAACCTGTTTTGTGTACCACTGGTTATCCAGTCAAAATCTGGTAGATTGAAATCTCCACTCAGGAGTACACTGTCTGGAATTAACTGTACCATTTCAGAAAGCAGTGTCATAGGAGTATCACCACTGTCTGGTGGTCGATAAAAACAACCAAACACGACAGTATTTCCCTTCGGTAAAAAAACACGGCACCAAACTGCCTCGGCAGAATTGTGGAAAGTAACTTCCTCGCTAGTCCACTCGTTCGCTACAAGAATAAACACGCACCCACCATGGCGATTTCTATCTTTCCTATATACAGTGAAGCCATGTGGGAAGACCTCAGTATCAGGTATCGCATTGTCCAGCCAAGATTCTGTACCCATAATAATTTTTGCTTGAGTAGTTACCACAAGGGACGCAAAGACGTCAACTTTATTATTAATACTTCGACAGTTCACAAGAAGCAGGCGCCCGCACGTGTTTGAAGTATCGATTCTCCCAGTTCTGTGAGGACTGACGTCACGTCATTCGGCTTCTTGTGATCGCGCATGTGCATGCAGTGGGACAGGTTGGTTCATTTCACTGTCCCACACGAACGTCTTTCTGTTCATAACAAGCTTATCATAGTTAAGGAGCACTCGGCATCCCTTGCTATCTCTCTTTTCCCTGGCATAGTTCCAAAAAAGCGAACAGCATAGTTTTCGCGAACAGCATGACTGAAGTCTTCGGATACACTAAAAGAGGTGTTCTTAAATTTGTAAGCATTACGCATAACACTTTCAATGGCTTTCCACCCCGAGAAGGTTGCGACGATAGGCCTAATGCGCCCCTCTGTGAAGGCCCCCAGCCGGTGAGCTCTCCCCATCGGAATGTTACTAAGCTTGAGCACGTTACTGCAAATCTCTTCAACCAGGCTCTCAGATTTTTCCCATGTTTCTTTGCGCTCATTGTCTGGCACACCAAAAAAAACTAAGTTTAACCGGCGGCTCCTGTTTTCGAGATCGTCAAGCTTAGCCTCTATCTTTCTTTCGGATATTTCAACAATCTTAATGCGCTCCTCGATTACATTTGATTTTGCTATCACGCTGTCTATTTTCTGTTCCAGGTCGGCTTGCTTCGCTACTATTTCTGCAAGTTTAGTAAGCATGGTTTTCTGACTACTTTGTACATCCAAAAGGATCTTCTCAATGTTCGCCATCTGCTCTTTTTCGGTTGAGTTCATAGGGCCTGGGTTTAGCTCTACATCCCCTGAGAGTAGCAATAGAGCCTCCCCCAACAAAGAACAATCATTGCAGATTAGCACCCAAACAGAGTCAACCAAGTATTTGCAAACAGTGTCGATAAACAAGCACAACTTCTGTGTATCAATGGGGCACGACACTCTTACAAGCATCACATTACTCGTGCAATAACATTTTGCGTAATTCAAATAACAAACCTGATACATGAAGCAACGTAAGTTCGTGCCCAAAAGAAGAGTGCCGCAACCCAGTCGACCGCTGCCGAGATGCTCCCCGCGCCGAGATTTAATGTTTCTATCTTTTTCTTCCTTTCTGGCAAGTAAGCACGCATGTTGTGAAGTTCCCAGAAGTGAAAATTTTCTTTTGCAATTCACAAACCTAATGCGTCATGGTATGGGCTGAATCCTTATAATAAAACCTCACTCAGTAATAAAAATGAGTGACAGGCGTAAAGCAAGAATGAAGTGAGAAACAACACGAGCACTCTATAAAGGTTTTTCATCCTTGTTTTATGAGCCATTGTTCACTCCAAATCATGCAAAGCCCATTAGTCAAGTTTCATACTTTTGGCAGTAAAGGAAGTTTTGCATCAACTATTTAATAAACACAAGTTGGTTCCAAGGTGCCCAAAAAGAGGATAGCTTGATGATTGTGCATAGTTCTCACATCCACGCAATTTTACATTCCCTTGGCATTTTGTAGAGGGCGACTGGAGATACATTGATAGCAAACAAGCCCTTCTAGTTTTCTATAATGGCTGGTCGACACAATCGGCTGCTTTCGCAGCATCACAAAAAGCTAGTGAAACTGAGCATCAAGCAACTGCGAGAATGTGTCGTAAGGCAAACAAACAAAAAAAAAACACCATATGCCAGGCCTGTGCAGAACATGCAGCAAAGTCACGGCAAAGGGTGGAGGAGCGGACTTTCTAGAGCACATCGCAATATCTTTTGGGGCAACTATTTTGACTGCAGTTAGAAGGTAACCGCAAAACCAAAAATCATAATTTTCTGAAGTAGGGAGGTACCCACTATGCCATCAATCATTCTGCAGAGAAGCTATGTGCTTTTGTTTGATGCTGTGGTTGAAGACAAAGAATAATGGCTGAGCTGTTAGTAATGAATGCGAAACTTTAAACCACTCCATTATGTACTTCGCACTGTGTGACACCTGGTTGTTATTTTACTCCTCTATTACATCTGTTAACGCGATTTCTTGTCCGACATTATGCCTATTTTGAGTATTATTGCAAAGGAGTTTCAAGCAGTGATTTGGCTTTGTGGTACAATACTGAAGTGCGATGCAGCGGGCCTGGGTTCAAATCCTGCTCAATCCTGGACAATCTTTTTTTCATTGTGTGCGATAGCAGCTACGAACATCGGCATCACCAACACTTGCGGCGGTGGCGGAGAACTGCAACACCAAAATCAGCTGTTGTAGCGATCTAACAGCAGATACTGTGAAACGAGGGTGAGGAGGAGTGCTATAGGGAGAGAGAGGGAAGGTGTTGCTCACTCTGTGTGTCCCTGAAACACGCTGACCGAGTGTATGGGTTCTCGGAAGTCCCACAGCCGAAATGTCGTGTCCTTAGAGGACGTCACCACCAGACGTTGCGTCGGATGCGCGCTGGTATGGGTGAGTTCTTGGTCATGGCCTGCAGAAGAACCGGCGATAGGCAATACTGTTAGCACAGCCAATAATAAGAACAGAGAGGAGGTCACAAACGTATTGAGTGATCAACAGATAGTAATTGCAGCCACAGGAAATCTTCACATTTGCATTGTATACCGACATGCCTGCATGTTATGTAACCCCGTTTTTTAACAAGCTGCAAGCACTATTACTTGCTCATTAAAATTTCACGCAAGTTGGCACAGCAAACACAGCTTATCTAAAAAATATCTCTAGTCGAACAGACAGCTAAGTAGCAGCAAGCTTTCATATAAAACAGAAATTGATGATTTGAATTTCCTAAACTACGCAGCGTACGAGGGATGTCTTGCAGGGAAAGCTTCAGCTTAATTTTGCCCTCCTAGAATTCTTAGCGTCCACTCTTATCTGAAGGAGAACACGAATTTTATTGTATTTATTCCTTGTTGAAGCATACATTGTGTAGCTGGGAGCAGGTTTCATTGCTTTGTCTTAATGGGCTTCTGAAAATAAGTTAATTTGCATGTCTCCTTTCATGAAACAGTGAAAAGCTTGTAGGTTACACTAAACTCACCAACGAGCTGAATGACAAGCTCTCCCTTCTCAACGTCGTAGACGTTGGCTGTGCGGTCCCAGGATGCAGTGATCACCTGGTCCCCACCCGACAGCCAGTCGGATGCTATCACAACACTGCTATGGCCCGTGAGCTCGGTCAGGGGGCTTTTCATCACAAGAACGTTGCTTGCAGAGTCAATATCTGAACAGAAAGACATGAACCAATGATTGTCTAGACCAAGGTTCTCAAACAAGTGGCTCGAATGTCTGGTCCTCAAATGACTGTCTTCGTCCTATTTTGAAAAATTATAGGCATGCTCACGAGTTCCACGCACGCGATTAGTATGAAGCATCTTTTTTGTAGGGCATCCCATCGGCCACCATAAGTTTGAACAAGTACTTTAGAACAAGAACTTCATATTAAAAAAGAGTGTACAAATTTCTGTCATCTTGCAGTAAATATCACTATGTTTATTGAAACCTAACAGTGAATCCACATCAAAACTGACCCATCTAAGGGTATGTAAAAGAGCTTGTTTAAATTACAACTGCACTCAATTGCCCCCTCTACTTTCCTTCAACTTTGACCTAGCTAATCATCCTGGCCCATCGGTAGAAAAAGTTTCTTGACAATGGCCCGCTAGCTGAAATGAGTTTGAGGTCTGCAGTTCAGAAAATCAATGAACACTGCTTCCTTGACAGCAACGTTATTTCCAGAAAGTTATGCTCACCATCTTCTTTCTCCGAAAGGTCAACCTCGTCTTCTGATGAATGTCCTTTCTGTGAAGAGATAAAAGTGGTGATGAGATAAAAGTGAATCATCAACTTAACCTACTCAAACCCTTATCTGCTGAACAGAGGCAGCTGCAGACAAGTCTTCAACTAGCCTAGCTGATATAGAAGAGCAGAGCAACTACATATAAAGCACACACAATTGAGAAATGGCATACTTCACACTGCAATATGACCTATGGGTATTGAGAAATAAAACGATAGCTTCTTGAAGTATTATATGTCTATGTTACGATTGAGATACACCTTATAGAAAAACAAAAGAAATGAGGGAGAAAAAAGGTTGTCTTATTTTTTGTGAGCGACAACATAATAATAGCAAATACATGAAAGTTTAATTTACTGCTCACTGCATTCTCTCCATATTTTTCATATTTCAAATACTTGTGTTACACAACATGCTGTGCTTTGTGCCATTTTATATGCTAGTAGTAGGATGTGTATGAGATGCATGTAAGATTTACAGTAATCAATGTTCGAATTGCATGCATCTGACTTCTAGCAGTATTTTCAGCTACAGTGCACTTTGATTGTTCATGCAATGTTTAAACCATTTCTTGTGTTGAGTGTTAACCTTCATTTGATTTCGACAGGATTTCTGAGTCCCCACATATGAATTGTACAAGAATCCGTGTTGCTGTATGATACAGCAAAAAATCATGTTCATTGTATCCGCGTGGTTTTTTACACTACAGTACATAACTCAATAATACACAAACAGATAAATAAGTACAATTCTATTCAGGCAGATAAGAGCTACTCAAGATTGCTAAGAAGTTTAATGACTGCTTTCCCACTAAGATAACAAGGAAATAACATTAACAGTGTCATTATTACCATTACATTTAGTTAATGCATTTATAAAAAAAACAATTAGCCACGTATCTGCGTGCTTCGCTGCAAATTTCGTGTCAAAAGATGATGGTCTTCTGCCAGCCTTCTTTCGTGCATAGCATCGCATTTTCAGCCCAGCCTAAGAAACACTAGAGTCTTTAGAATTCTCTATCTATGTATCTTCCAGTAAAGGAACACGCCACCTAATGCTTACTTATTGTTCTTGTGCCTCAAATATGCAAAATATTTGATTTTTGATCGACTATGTTCAGAAGTATGAACACAGCCACCAATTTAAGATGGCCAGGCATTCAGCAAGAACTCATACATCGACCGGGTAGCTGAATCGTTTCATGTGACAGACAGAATTTTTCTTTTTTTTTTAAAGTGCGGCATGCAGAAGGACCCCTATGAGTCTTCTTGCAACATGGTGGCATCTGACGCAAGATGCGCACAGTGTTCCTTTCTTTCTTTAGTTCCACATCACGAGTGGATACAGAAAGGGGCCTTTTTTTATGCACGTCTAAAGGACAGTTTTCAAATGGAAAGAAAATATAAAAGCGCTGCGTGGTAGAAAACACACTAAAGCTCCTTTGAGATCTGCATACCATCAGAGGCAAATGGTATCTATAAATAGGTTGCCGTTATTATGCCTGTGCACGCATGGCATATGGCTGAGTGCTTAATGCAGCACGCTACAACGCGAGAGACTTCTGGTTCAATTCCCTAGCCGGGTGACCTTGAATTTTTTTTTTCCCTTCAAACTTTTTTGGTTCCTATTTTATATACATACATGTACAAGTTTTTTGGTTCTTATTTGGTATATATACATACATGTACAGCTGTCCACACCTTTAACACAAACGCTCCACCGCATGTCCTGCGGCAGTTTGACTGACGCTGACATCACATACGTTTGGGTTCTGCTGCAAAGATGCTAACCATACATGCTGACATATTATCCAAGCCTACCGAGGTATTATCTCAGCAAAAGCGCCCAACACTTCGCGGCTGGCATCAATCAAACTAGCCCTGGCCATGCATCGAAGTGTTCGTGCTAAAGGTGCTGACGGCTGTACATATCCGCGGCATGACGGTGACAGCCAAAATCAGCCAAGAGTGTCCATATAATTTCTATCGCAATAACGAACAAAGAAGATGAGAGCTAGTCAGCCCACCACCAAATCTAATGCCGCCGCTGCAGATGTGGCAGCCCTCCAGATGTGGGCGCTCTGGTCCCCCGAGGCTGTCACGAGAAGATCTTGAGTCGGATGGAAGCGCACAGAGTTCACCGAACCCTCGTGTCCCGCATACTGCACAATGCACTGACCCGTCTGAATGTCCCAAAGCCGAGCAGTATGGTCTGTAAGGAACAGAGAGTGACAAGGAAAGAGGATGCATGAATAGATGTATTAATAAGTTAACTTGTTCCTCATATCCCTCTTTTTAATAGTGAGAAGTGATGCAAGCTTTCTTGCTATGCCTCTTTTTTTTTTTTTCACACAGGCATAAGCAAGAACCAGGGGCGGCACCTCAGCTGCTTCTTTCATGCACTTCTATGGCTTGTAATTTTGCTACTAGGGTATATAATTTCATGCTAAAGATCATGGCAGTATTCTGAATAAATAGTAGCACACAATTACACTCTTCACTTTTAATTATTTTACATATGACCTGCCTAACGAATTGGACATGCTACTGTCACAGTGATGGAAGTGACATTTTGCTTTTTAGAGCAGATTCTGGAGCAGAAAAAATGGTGCTTCAAAGCATGCTCAAGTGTCTGGGAGCAGAAAAAAATGCTATAGCTTAGGGTCGCTATTGGCGTTTTCGGAGCAGATGCATGTTCCTAACGAGTCCTGAAGTCTAAAACATCACTTAAGCATCTAATAAATATTTATATTTATTATTAAACTTGCTGTATGCTAGTATGGAGCTAGTATACAAGCAGTATAGTTGGCATAAATTATGGGCAGGGGGAGGGGGTCAAGGGAGTTTGGATTTTCTGGTGTTCAGGCTATGGAGGACACCATTTGCAACTGTCCCACTTGAGATTTAGCTTGAAAATGTGATATAATTGAGTTTAGAGTTAAGTATAGTGCAATTAACTTTCTAAAAGGTTTTTTATATTTTACTGCATACCTGTGTTAAATGCCCCTCAGCTGTGTGAACTATGGAAATAAAAAAATGTAAAAATGTGAAAAAAAGAGATTGAATACAATCGTGCAATCGCTCGAGCTCGGACTCCATGCTCATTTTTTTTTATTTTATTTTAAAGCATGATTTAATTTCTATATAAATAAAAATACAACCCATATTAAAAATACAAATTGGACACCATGGCCTGATATGAGTCACCCCTCGAGATTTTTCTGGATTTAGGCCACTGAGTAGCATGCTTGGGTGATAGCGTATACAGCTTGCTTTTGGTTTCGTTTATGCTCACGGGATGGTCCCATGGTTCAACTTCATTCTTTTTAGTTTGCCAACACCATTTTGGAGCACGTTTGGAGCCGTTACTAGCAAATATTGCACTGTGGAGCAGCATTTCTCTTTTGGAGCAGTTTGGAGCAATTGAAGCAGCACTTCCATCACTGCTACCATTATTCATTCTGAACTGGCCACAAAATAACCGGAGGCTAAATATAATAAATAGCCTGAGGACTACATATCAAGGCACAAACCCCGTTTCAACAGATTCAGCAATGACATGCTGAAAAAGAAACTCAAAACAAAATTGGATGAGTAATAAAATGAAGAGAGAAAGTACGCACTGATGTGTGTGGCACAAGGTGTTTTTAAAAGGAGTTAAGTGCAATAAGAATCACGCAGGGCATGTAAGCCACTAGTAGTGTCATCGTAATGCCGGGCAGGAACAGAATTCCTTCGAGATACTGACCTGCCGATGCTGTTGCAATGACCAATAGGCCCGAGCGTGACGTGCTGACCTCCCAGACTCCGTCACGATGGCCAAAGTAACTCACAGCCAGCTGACAGCTTAAGGTGGACGTCTTGAAGCTCGAGACGATGCGACTGGTGGAAGCCTTCAACTTGTACGTGCTCTTTATTTTTTGTGAGAGCTGGCTTGCTGCAAAACATGAAAAAAAAGCTTACTATTAAAAACCACGCTTCGACATTTGCGACTTAATGATGTGTTCTAGCGCAAATAATTGGGACATAGGGCACTATAAATATTTTGCCTGACTGCCATGATGACGTATGTAGAGCAGCCATGTTAACTGAAGTGGATGACAAGAGAACTCGGAAGTTACATCACTTGCAACTATTGAGCAAGATTAAAACTGCGTGACGATGTCTAAAATAATACAACGTGAAGCGAGCTCAGTCTCTACACAGACAACCTATGAGGGAAAGCAGACCATCTTTAAGGACGACAGCACACAAAGCGTCGTCCTTAAAGCACACAAAACACTAGTCGTCGTTAAAGGGGCCCTGAAACACTTTTTTGAGTAACCATGGAATTAATTTCCTAGGAAAGCGTATTGACTCACAAATTACAAATTCAACGCCGCAAAAATTTTAAGAATCCATCCAGTACGAGCGGAGTTAGAAAGATTTGTCCCACGCTGCAATCACATTATCTCTTCTCTCGTCCCGACAAAAGCAGCTAAGCAGCTGGGAGCTAAGCAGGGAGGGTGCGAGGGGCAAAAAAAAAAAAAAAACCGTCACGCGCGCCTCGTGACCTTAGCACTTCTTCCTTCTTTTTCTTCAAAAACGCGGATTTTTCAGTGCGATCGCGCGCGCATGAATGGATGAATTGATATGACTGTACCCTTTAGATCGCGCGGTGGCTAACGCCACCAAGTCGTAATACTTGGTGAACCAAAAGCTACGCGTAGACGGCCTCTGGCGGCGATCTCTGTAACAACCGAGCGCGCCGTGTTAAAATCAGCCAATGGCTGATAGACGGGTAATGTAAGTGTGATTTTTGAGCATTTTCAGTAATTTGTAGAGGGAAGAGAAAGCAATTTTCAGCTGACTTTGACAATTTATTGTGAATTCCAGGCCACGTGCTGCGCTATAACTTTAGCTCGCATGTTGTCGGGAGCCTCTACTACCGATCGGCAGCAATTTATGACCATGTTCAAAAAGTGTTGCAGGGTCCCTTTAAAGCAACAAACAGCATAGCAACCACCCTATTTCTTTTTACAATGCTTGAATAGTCCTATGAACTGCTGTTTATACGTGGTGGCTTCAAAATCACGATGTGCATCCGGCAAGCAGATGTCATTAACATCACAACTAGTCACACTAGTTGGGAGGTTACTGCCACAACTAGTCCAGAAAAACGAGAACTATTGTGCCCTTTGCACTTAATTAGTGCTTTAGTGCAAGATAATGCGATGAAATTACGTGCGTTATGCATGTGACACCCTTTTGCAATCTGCTCAGCGAACCACACGTGCTTACGCAGCAAAGAGGGCCCCGGAAAGGACACCTCGGGCACAGGGTTCACCGTGCGCACCATGTGCGGATTAGCGTTCAAATCTTGCCGCGCAATTAAGCCTCTAAACTACGCGCCACATCGCGCAAATCTCGTAAGTAAACGCTATCTGTGCCATAGCGCTGATAGAACACGGAACTCCACTGCGCGGACACACACACACACACACACACACACGCACACACACACACACGCGCACACGCACGCACACGCACACACACACACACACACGCGCACACGCACGCACACACACACACGCGCGCACGCACGCACACACACAAACGCGCGCGACGAATGCAGCACGCCACGGTCAGGTCATTCGCGGGGCTCCTATCGACCATGCGCACAGGTTTAATAACTTCACCTCGACTGCCTTCCCTCCCACGCTAAAAAAAAAAAAAACCATTCTACCTTTGATTTCTCACTGCAAAGATCGACCAACTCGCAGTACGTCTCCCTAGGTACGAACAATCTACGCCACACTTTCAACGCACTAACTCCGTGCAGCGCGCAGAGAAGCCACGGGGCGCGTTAGCCTAACAGAAAAGGGAAACGGGAGACGAGCTCCTCTACAGGTCCCCTTTCGCGTGACGCCGATCCGCGGGAAACGTGCAGACGCGGGTCTCGTTTTCCCCATAGGCTGACACAAGCCGTACGCTTCGCCGCACTGCAGGGAATTGGCCCCGCGGTGGCGCGAAGCGAGGACAGGCGCTTGCGGCCTTGGGCCGCTTGGACAATCTCGCATAACACGACGGGTCCTTCGGGGAAAACTGTCGAGGCAAGAGAGAGAAAGGAAATGAAGTTTGCGACTCGATATATCAGAACATCCGAACTGCATCTAGCCTTGCAGGGTGCGCGCGGTACCGACCACGCGATGAGAAGAAGGGGTGCAGTAGGGTCGGTGCGGTGCGCACTGAAATAAGCAAACGACCTCGAGATGGAGAGGGAAAAAAGCGTGCGCTCAAACAAATTTCGGATAAGGACAGCGTCCGTTCTATGCACGTACTCCATCAAGTCGTCGTGCTCTGGCGAGGCAACAACAGCCCTGTTGGGTCAATAAACCTCGCGACAAACGCCTTTGGCATGCTAATCCATAGAAGTAAAAAAAACAATAGTGGCTCCCTGGCAACAGAAAAGCGGGTCCCATCGATGCGACGGGCACCCAGTGCTCGTCGCACGTCGATTCGCAATTTTCAACTTAGAATGGAAAGTACAGTGTTTTGAACAGTCTGAGAAACGACGACCAATGGTATACTGATAAATGCGCAACTGTATAGAAAGACTCATAGACAATAAACTGACAAAAGCACCGGTTACACGCTCAGTGCGTGGGTCCGGCGGAAAAACACGTACCTACACAGAAAATAAAGACACGCCGCTAAGCGGTCACCTGGTCGATAAGGAAATGGACATGGTTGGTGTCGGGGAAGATACCGCCGAGTACCATTTGTCGTGCATGTGCACACAGATTGCACTCGCACATACAAGCTTTCGAGACAAATCCGCGTTTGAGTGCACGTTAAAAAACCCCAGGTGGTCTAAATTTCCGGAGCCCTCCACTACGGCGTCTCTCATAATCATATAGTGGTTTTGGGACGTTAAACCCCACATATCAATCAATCAATCAATCAAATCCGCGGGCGAAAATACACATTGATCGTCCTCGTGGTCTTTCTCTCATTCTCGCAAATCACCGTTCCTCGATAAGGACCGAAAGAGTTAACCCAGCAGATAACCATAAACACCCTGTTTGTCGCTTTCGTCGATATAAACGAAAGGGAAAACTTTGTACCGGCTGATAAGGTCCAGATAAAAGCATAGGCAAACAGCGACGCCTTTCGCGCGCTGAAGGCCGTGAAAACTGACGCGTTATAGACGAGGCTGGATGGATGGATGGATGGATGGATATGGCTGTACCCTTTAGATCGGGCAGTGGCTAGCGCCACCAAGCCGTAATACTTAATGAACCAAAAACTAGATTTATTTTTGTTTCTTTAAAAAGTGAGTTTGAGGATTCGTATTTTGCAGTGAAGAGTTTAATTTTCACTCGTGCCTTGACTTTAGCCACCAATCAGATAACCTCCTTCTAGTTAATTCTACCCGCTTAAAGTCTATTTTGCCCTCACTGTCCCTAAACCCCAGTGCTTTGAAAAAATCTGCGCCATCAACCTGAACTACAGGGTGAAGCCCTTTAAAGAACATTATCAACTGTTCGGCAGTTTCTTCTTCCTCTCCACACGCACTGCATACTGTGTCTACCCTTTTCGTATTCAGCCCGATATGTCTTGGTTCGCAGTACTCCCGTCCTGGCATCAAACAGTAGAGAACTACCCCGAGTATTATCATAGATCCTTTCCTTGGAAATTTCCTGCTTAAAAGTTCGATAGATCTCTAGTGCGGACTTCTTAATCATGTCCATTCTCCACATGTCAGTCTCCGTTTCCTTCACTTTCTTTTTAACCGATAGTTCTTTTTGGTTTGGCCACCTGCTGTTTTCCAAGTATTTACCAGTCAATTTCCTGGTTCACTTCCTCCATTTTGTATCGACATTCTTCACGTACAAGTAGCTGGAAACCTTCCTAGCCCAACACGCCTCCCCCATTTCTCTCAATCGCTTCTCAAATTTTATCTTGCTGCTAGCTTCCCTGCCCTCAAATGATTTCCATCCCATATCACCTTGTACTACCCTGATTTGGTGTATTCCCGTGAGCTCCTAAAGCAAGCTTACCTATTCCACGTTGCTTAATTTCTAATCTTGCTTGAACTTCTGATCTCATGCACAAGACCGCATTGCCGAACGTCAGCCCAGGAACCATAACCCCTTTCCATATTCCTCTAACAACACCATACCTATCGTAATTCCACAGTGCCCTATTTTTCATCACTGCTGCATTCCTGTTACCTTTAGTCGTCACGTATATTTCGTGTTCCTTCAGGTACTCGGTCCCATTGCTTATCCATACGCCCAGATATTTGTATTTATCTGTCATCTCAAGCGTGACTTCCTGTATCCTAAGCTCACTACCTTCGTTGTCATTGAAAATAGTGACTGCTGATTTTTACTTACTGAATCTAAAATCTAACCTATCTCCCTTATTACCGCAGATGTCCATCAATCTCTGCAAATCTTCCTTGTTGTCAGCCATTAGCACTGTATCATCTGCGTATGTCAATGCTGGTAGTGCCTGTTCAATGCGTTTTTCTTGTTTGACGAAAGAGAGGTTGAAGCCCAGCCCACTTCCTTCTAATTTTGCCTCTAATCCTTGTAGGTACATCATGAATAATAAGGGTGACAGGGGGCACCCCTGCCTAAGCCCCCGTTTTACCTCTGCAGGCTTGGATACCTGTTTTTTCCTCTTTATAACTACCTTGTTACCTTTATAGATGCCCTTTAAAAGATTAGTGACTACATGTTGCACGCCTAGTGTGTCCAGTATTCCCCACAATTCCTCTTGAGCCACGCTATCGTACGCTCCCTTGATATCCAAGAATGCTAGCCACAGGAGCCTGTGTTCCTTTTCTGCTATTTCGATGCACTGCGTCAGTGAGAACAGATTGTCTTCCAACCTCCTGTGTTTCCGAAACCCATTCTGCAGTTCCCCCAGCACCCCCTCATCCTCTAT